TATCCCTGCCGCTGCCGCCCTTCTGAAATGCCTCCAGATGTACTTGGGTCCATATACTTTGTGATAGCAGCCAAAGCATTTGACCCCTCCGTCTTGAGGCTTTCTTGTATAAATTGATGCTGAAGTGCTAATTCTCCCATGCAAGGGTATTTTGGGACTGGTATATAGAAGCTTTGACCAAAATGAGAAGTTTATTGATGTCTAAGATTGTGATAGCTATGGTAGAGGTCATTGTGGCTTCCATGTTTGACTGCAGAGACATCTGTAGTACTTTGCTTGCTTTTTATTAAATGGTGCTTCAGGAGTCCTGGAGTATACAAGGTACTGTGTATAGTGAACATTACTATATTTGTTTTGTTAATATGTAGACATTTGTATTTTGTATGTATTAAATGCATATAATACAAAGCATAGCATATGTATTTAAATGTATACCTTACCTGTTCACAGTTATCTGAGGATTAAAAGTTAAGTGGTACTATGGAAGTTAGGAAATACTGTAGTTGGGTTTTGGATTGTTAGAATGTGATAAACTGTTCAGATAAGTACAAGGTCTGTATGAATAACTGCTTATATCAGAAGCAGAATTTTCTTTGATCTAGATCAAGGATGTTGAATATACCCAGGTAGCAGTGGACTATGGAAACTGGGAGGGTGGCTAGGATGGGGGCATGGCTTCCTGTAGAATTCGGAGCTCTTGCGTCCCAGTGGCTATAGCTTTTAGCCTGTGGCTGCTTACCCTACTGACTCCACTGCTTCTGCCCTGGGCTGAGGCATGGGTGATTTTGACACCCCTGCCTCAACTTTGCCTGGTCAACTTTGGGGATTTACTTTTGAGTTTTTGCTTTGCTCTTGTGAAGACAAAGTTTAGCCGAAAGGTTGTTGTAGCTTTCATGAGGACCGCTTGAAGGTGACTGCTAAACTTGTCCCCTTCTTCTTGCTTTATGGCTTATAAAGAGTCCCAAAACTTTTGTAATGTTTCCTGTTTGGCTCTCTTTGTAATGTCTCTTGTAGTTTAGTCTATGGAGGACTAATTAAATTACTTGAGAAGTGTTTTGAGTGAAGGCTGAACAGTTGAAAAGGTGAGCAAAGTTTTTTGTTTTGTTTTTGTTTTTAGTCTGACTGTCAACCTTTTAATTTTTTGCTGGCACCTAACTAATTCAACTTGGGTAACACTTGAAACACAGTATTTTTCTTAAATTGAGTTTTTTCTCCATCATCCAATAAGCTCTTCAAAAGAAATTGAAGACTACAGTTAATACTATTGATATTATTATTAAGGGTTTGGTTTTTTTTAAGATTTTAAACCCAACCCAAAAATGCTCTTTAGGCTCTCTTCATATGGCATAAAGGGACAAAAAAGACACAAGTCCATTTCAGTTAAAACAAACCCCCCCCCCCCAAAAACAAACAAAAAAAAAACCTTGCCACCATTTAATGACAGGGGAGGGGAGAGAGATGAAACTACTTTAAATGAATCTAAGATGATTCCAAATAAATCTATAGAGAAACTTGCAGTACAGATTAGAATTAGGTTTAGATAGATAATTCAATTAATGAAGCTTTAATGTGTACCTCTTAAATTCAGTGTGGGTTGCACAATTAAATATACACTTTGCTTCTTGACTAGTTGGCTTTTGGCAAGTTTTGTTGGCCATCTTAGAACTTAATTCAAAATATATAGAAACTTACATATCTAAATTAAATCATTGGAGGTTGTGCTGTCATAGGGGAATACTGGAAGACTCGCACAATTTTGGGTTGTTTAATTGCTTTATATCAAACTTGAGAATTCACAGTAATTCTTGGTGTCTATAGGTTGGTGTTGTTCTCTAGTTCTAACTTGGATGGACTGGCCCTGTTATCCCTTCCTCCACTCTCTCAAATTAACTTTTTCTATAAATAAATAAAATAAAAAGCATAACAAATGGAACAGTGTAGCGATAGTCAATTGACATCTACTTGTACAGTGTGAGTACACAATATGTGGCAGCTTCTAATTTTAATATAATAAAGCTCCCCCGGGCCCTTTTCCTTGGAAGCAGCGGCAGCGCGGGGTGCTGGCGGAGGGGGATGGAGGAGACGGTGGGGCAAGCTCCCTCCTTGCTCCTGGGAGGTGGTAATGCAGGGTGGGGTTAGGGTTAGCAAGCCCGGTGGGGAGAAGGGCAGTTCTTGATGGGCAATTTGCTAGTAGACTTATAAAAAGTTAGCAGTTATTATAATGTTTAGATACTCTGCCTATGCTGCAGAGTAGTGATCTTGACACTAAATGCTTGTTATTATGCTGTTAGTGTGAATAGTTTAATTCTGTCAAGTTGGGGAAATTAAGGATGAGTGAAAGGCTAGAAGTAAGTAGAGTAAGGAAGATGAAAATAGATATAGCAATGCAGTGAGACAATAAAGGGAAGTGGTTGATACAATACAGACTTGGAGAATATCCCACCCCATCTTGTTGTTACTCATTAGCTGGTTTTCAGTATGATTACTTGTAAATAAATAGCTGAAACTTTTGTGGGCACTTTACTTACTGTAGCTGCTGCATTTTGTGAAGAAACTTGGTTTGGTCACCTGACACACTCCCACTGGCAAGATTTGTTCATAAAGGCTCAGTTACAATTAAAGTTGGTAAAAGAAACTTTCTGAATCATTATTGTCTGGGAAGCTGTACAGTAAGAACTGCACTCTTTAAAATACTGTTAAGCCTAAACTCTGATTTCTAATGCGACTTTTAAAATATTTAGATCTCTTGTTCAGTCTCTGTTTGCTTACTGGTCTATTGGGGGGCGGGGATCTCCCTATTACAATATTACTTTTAAAAAGCTATTAATGGAAAGATCTAATTATTTTAAGAAAATATTCAAAGTTTGATACATCTCAGCATAAAACCAACTGCTTGCCTTTTGAGAATTGACACTTATTGTTTTGATAAGTTGCTGTCTACCTCCATTTCATTTCAGTAAATACTTGCCTCTTGTTAAACAAATATTAATAGAACTTCATCGCAAATCTAACAAACTTTTTTTTTTTTTTTTCTATTGTGATTGGAGCATGTGCATGATTCCCTATGAATAGACAGATACGATAAGGTACATGTTTCATAAAACTTCTCTGGTTCTAAATCATCCTTTTTACTCTGACACTTGTGTTAAGGTATTTCTGGTGTCTTAAGGAATGCATTCTCCAGAGGGTTACCTTGAGTTATCTGTGTGTTAATTACTTTCAGTGGGAGCTGGACATATTGTAAAATAACACTTGTTGTGTCTGTGTTGGCATAGTGTTTGCTTGTTTGTGGTGCTAAGGCTTGTAAAAAGAGTAGGTTGTGGGTCTTAGTCCTGTAGTAAGCTTCCTTAATTCTTTCCCAGTGAACTCTGTTTCTTGTACACACCAGAAGGGGATTCTGGGAAGGTGTTGAAGAAATAATAGCTCTTGAATATTTTTAGCTTGTGTTCTCACTTCAGTGTGGTTAGTTGGTTGGCAGTTGGTGAGTGTTGCTTGCTCAGGTTTTAGCCCCTCATAGAAGAGACAAATTTGAGATAAAAGCCCCGTTTCTCTGGAAAAAATTGCATGTGGAAGGGACACAAATTAGGCACAATACTTGGGTTGCAGTTTAACATTGCAATGAAGGCAAGCCCTTATAGAGGGCTTGGGATTGAAGCTTCAATGATATATTTTTTTCAGTCTTGTTAACTTTAGGTCACACTTCTTAAGGCTGTTAATGTAGACAAGGATGTGTGTCTATTATGTATGTGTGTTTTTAAAAAAAAATGGTAATGAATTCTAAGAATGAAATGCAGTATAAACCTCCTTTCAGATGTAATGAAACTTAGTTTAGTATCCCTTTGGAAGGGAAATCTTCAAGAATCCTGTCTTGAAGTGATACATACATGGTCTTGCATGCTGGCATATTTGTGTATGTGTTTGTTTGTTTTTTTTAATTTGCATGCATGACAGTCTCATA